TTGGCTTTCTTGGCAGCCAGGGCACTCTGCTGGCTCATGGTTAACCTGTTGTCCACCAGGACACCCAGGTCCCTCTCCGCAGAGCTGCTCTCAAGCAGGTCCACCCCAAGCCTGTACTGGTGCATGAGGTTGTTCCTCCCCAGGTGCAGGACCCTTTTACTAAAGGTATCTTTAATAAAAAATGCACTCCAACTCACCAAGGTGCACCTTAATGTTCCTCACGGGTACATTAGTGAAAGTGATTTAAACCTGCGTTTGACTGTGAAACTTCCTTTTGAAAACAGCTACACTTCAGTAAAACATCTGCTCAGTCCTTAGCAGCAAACATTTCCCCATACTGTAAGAGTCGGAGGATCAGCTGCGGTAACCGCACGCGCAGAGCTGCCCACATCTGTAAACCGCTGCGCATCCACCCAGGCTGCTCCTCCCACGAGGTGAAATCAAATTGGACAAATACATAAGCATAAAATGAATTAAGTACATGGGGGGTTGGACTAGATGACCCACAGAGGTCCCTTCCAACCCCGAACATTCTGTGATTCCGTGACAAAAAAAAAATACTATGGAATCTGAACAACTATTTTTACATCTGAGATGCACTACTTCTCACAAAAATCTAAGTGTGATTTCACTACCACTTTGATAATAAGTAGAAAGGGTTTTCTAGTTTTTCAGAGTACCTACCTGAACGTATTTACCAATCACTTTTATGATTTCCAAATTAAACTGCTTCACTGGTGCTGTGGATAGGTCAATGTGACTCAGCAGGCTGTAAATGATCTGCAGTAAGGACTGTTGCATACTGGATAACCCTTTCTCTAACAGCTAAAAATAAAAGATTTAAAAAAATACAGAAATTAATTACGGCCTTTAATGGCAGCAAAAAGTGAACACAAACATTAAAATATAATTAACTTCCATACATATTTATTTTTCCCTTTAAGAAACTTAATATTCATGACTTTGTGTTTTACAACATTTTATTTTAGCATTAAAAAAATGATGTAATTAAATAGAACAACGTTCTCTGCCCTAATTCAATTTTTCCCTGAATTTGGACAGGTTAGCACAGATCTAAAGCACCTAAGAATAAAATACTTCTCACTAAATGAAAACGTTCATACAAATTCAAAACCTCACAGCTGCATGAAAAACAACTACATCTATGCCTTAGAGAAGGCCTGTGCACACAAGCTGACAAAAAAAACAAGTCCATGTAAATTCGTTCACAAAAATGTAACAATATTTAAAAAAAATATCTTTGTCAATTTGACACGATGCACTTCCAGGAGAAGCTCTACAAGCTTTTCACACACGGTCCTTTTTCAGAGCTATTAAGTTTTCCTGTGTGAATGGCTGGCAGAGTCATACGCTGACTTCTATCATTCACACGATCTTTGGTTATACACTGTGCAATTACAAACTGAGCTGTGAAATTAGTTTTTAGGTTATGATCAGGACGTATTTAAAGGCTTATCTGGCTAAAAAAGATCTCTTCGAAATTGCACTAAGTATATTTTGCTCCAGTCAAGACAGTGTGCGCATTTTATTCATGCAGTAGGGAATATAAGTATCTATCACAAAACACTACTATGCTAAAAAGGGGTACTTTATGAAAGGAATTATTATTTCAAGGCACACTCCAATTGTTGCACTCCAGAATGGCCGCAGTCGTCCCTTTCCTATGCCCTAGAAGATTTTATTATTATTCTCCCACTATGGAAGATGTGCTTTTTGCCCCCCCAATATTCAAAATCACGAAAAATTGGCACTGAGTAAATACAATATCGTAATGCAGAGTGTCAACATGGGATACACTGTTATTAAAAACTTACCTCTGCCAGGTAAGTTACCAGGTTAAACGTGGCGTCTGAGAAAGAGTCATGCAAGTATCTACAGACCACGTTAATCCAGTTCGCACAGTCTCTGGAATAGCTGTGTGTGCTGTATAAACTCATCATGTGAGCCAGGTTGGCAAGAGTTGGGGATTTCTCCTCTGCACAGACCTGAAATGCAAAAAAGGACATTTAATTATATTCAAAATGACAAATTTTTAACCTAAGCATTCACAAGTCATGACGCACTTTTCCCAGATTTCACTCTGTTTTCAAATAACTGAAATCAAACTGATGCTACAAGCAGCACCTACAGCTTCTGCTGAGTGTTGGAGCCTGGCAGTTCCCTGAAAACCAGGAGAGCCAGGAGGCTGCACCTCCCAGGACAGACAGCACCTTCTTCTCCCCCTTTCCGCACTCCTCCTCACCCTGCGGCTGTCGGGGCAGCGGGCCACCAGTCTGGTCAGAGCACCACGTACTGCTTTAACAGGCACTGCAGCTCAGAAATACTCCGAGGTTAATCACTCGGTACAACTAATAGAAAGGACATAGTATCTTCTCTTCTCCACCTACCAGCCCCAAAGGTACTGGTCGCTTCCTTCTCGTAAGCAAATTCAGAAGTGTGCTTAAAAACTGATTAAGTTTATATTAACTTAACAAGTTATAGTTTGTATATATATATTTGTACGTATATTTGTATAGTTACAAATTTAAAATCAGACAAGAAGTAACTGGTATCATTAATAAGTAACTTTGTTCCTTACATCTAAAGTTTAGAGAATAAGCAACATGTGCTTTTTTATTGACAAAGGGAAACTCATACGAGTCTATAGAACCTAGGACTGGATCACATCTTTAAAACACAACTTGGTAGAGTTATTTCTACAAGGCTATTTAAAATGATGTGAAAGTATCACATAAGGGAGCAGAAAAATCCAGCAATGCAGGGAATAAACTCCCCAGGCAGTACCTTACGTACCTTTGCTATCCTGTCAGCTGTTTCTTTACAGAACGGAGTTGGGTTATCAAAATGTTGGATCAGGTGAGGAAGGAGGCACAAGATGTTTAGGGGAAATCCTAAACACATACATAAACACAGTTAGGGGAGCCCGAATGATTTTAATATGACTTCATTTAAAGTGGTGTTATGTGAGCACAGAACAGCTGGCTGGTATTTAAGAACCCTTAGAGGATGCTACACGGACGTTCACACAGACATACACATCATACACACACAGGTGTGTATCTATGTAGAAGGTATATAAATGTGTCTGTGTATTGGCATGAATATGCATGAGATGAAAACAAAATCCCCACTGGACCAATTAAGCAAAATTATCACAGCACTGGATAGCCTTAGGCAGTACAGCCGCATCGTTTCAAAAATGTGCAACTGTTTGAAATCGTACTAACTGAGCTACTCAGAAGCAGATCTTGAAAAACGACACATGTGCTCCTAGAACTCGCAAGTGAGCTGAAAGTAAGTTAATAGTCGCTAGGTGCAGTTTTCATGCAGAATTTCTTGGCAGGCAGTCACAGGCTGTAACCTACTCCCACTACCCAGCACTGCAACATGCATTTAACTGAAGGGTGTTTTCAAAGGCAAATGCATCATCACTAGCGATTCTGATTACACTTCATTTGATGAAAAAAATACATTTTCACTACTTGTACCGTTACTACAGATACCTGCTAACTGAGAAGGATCCACCAAAGCATGCCTGGAAATTGTGATGAGTTTACTGAGGAGATGAACTGTCATTTCTTGGGTAGATGCCGAAGTAAAGCCTTTTAGGAAAAGCTGCTGAAGGCCTGGAAAGTTATTCCATTTCAGTTTATTCTGCACCTTTTCTATCTTTTCCCGACTCTCCGACTTATCCAGAGGCAAGTGAATCAGCAGCTTGTTGAGCAGCTTGAGAGCCAACAGGTATTCATACTCATAATCAGACTCCAGCAACGAAGCCGCGATCCAGAATATGGTGGCCATCAAGTTGACAGGGTCAGTAGTGGGCTGCACATCGGACATCCCTCCCTCTCGCAGGGAGGAAAGGCTTCGAGTCCTCGCCAAGCTTCCGCCGTGATTTATCCTGCCATCCATGATATCCAGTGTGTTGCTCCGGCGACGGTCGCCCCTCCGCTCGCTGATTAAATTCAGTCTCAGAGAATTACTCCTCGTGTTGCTGTAGTATCCCAAACAACTGCCGCTACTACTGGGACCTGTGCTTAGATTTATCTGTCCAGTGCTTTTCCGATTAGCTGCGTACTTGTTTCCCATCACAGAATCGTGGTACGAGGTTCTAAAATAACAATCAACGTCACATATTATTCCATGCAAAAATACCTTAACAACGTACAGTATCGAAAAACGGGAAGAAAGTAAAAAGATTGAGCACTAATCACATTTATACGCACAGAGTGAACACCCCATCATCGGCAGAGCATTACAATATAGGAAAACACAGAATTTCTATATCTATTGCTAAAATACGCTTACAGCATAAGGCCAAGACTCTCGCATCTCATCATCTCTGCCACCAAATCTAGCTGTTACAATCCCAGAACAGCAAAATAACTATGTGACATTTCAGGAAAACACAGGGAAATTAGCCGACAGCATGTAAAAGATTCTCTGTAAATGAAGAAGCTGAAAAGCTCTTTCCAGTGGTGCCCAGCGACAGGACAAGGGGCAACGGGCACAAACTTAGGCACAGGAAGTTCCGTCTGAACATGAGGAAGAACTTCTTCCCTCTGAGGGTGACGGAGCCCTGGCCCAGGCTGCCCAGGGAGGCTGTGGAGTCTCCTTCTCTGGAGATATTAAAGACCCGCCTGGACAAGGTCCTGTGCAGCCTGCTCTGGGTGACCCTGCTTGGGCAGGGGGTTGGGCTGGGTGCTAGCATTCCAACTCACTTACAGATGTGATAAAGGCCGAGAAATGAATGAATTAATAAAAGAAATTATTTACTCATTTCCTTATATTTGTTTGAAGTATCTGACCTAGAAAAACCAACACCTTCCAGTTCTGATACTGAGAAATTGAAGATATTCCTAGAAATCTCAACATTGTCAAAAACCTTGCCATGAAGTCAAACCAAGCTGTCTGTACATTTAGGGGTGTTTGTGAATTTGATGAAAAGCATGAAGCCAACCCCCCAGACAGTAATTAGACACACAAACGACACAGACTGCTCAATTAGACTTCTCTCCTATACGGATGACAAATCTGAGGCCGAAGACAGAGTAGTGGTTGCTGTAACTGAAGAAATTTCTTCTGTATAAACATTGGAATAAAAGTATTTGTTGCAGTACAGGAGTTTTCATCTGTGAACCTTAAATTCTCATTTAAAGATCGGTGTCATTACCTTCACTACAAATATGGGAAAAAATAAGACCCCCGTGAAAATTACACTATTAATCAAGGTCAGTAGGGTCTGACTAAAAAAGAAAAAGTTCTCAATGTACTCAGTGCTTTTATCTTTGAGAAGTTTCAGAACAACTGCCAGCAGTTCAGCATTGAGCCATAATGAACACCTTGAACTATTTTTTTTGGACCCAAGACGGTAAGTTGGAAAGGCAACATAGACTTCTCCGAAAATCGAGATTCTGGTGAGTTTTGCTTGAGGCAGAACGATAAAAACATAAAAGAGCAAGCAATTTTGCTACTAGGAAACAGCTATTCTGAAAAGACAACAAGCAATTATTCATTACATTTGTAATACAGATCTTTAGTAGTGCAAATGTATCAAACTGTGCGAGGCAGCTTGACAAAGAAAAGAACTCACTGAGCAAGGGCAGAAAGCAGATCGTAATGCTTCATGGTTTCCGCCAGCGTATCAATAGCAGACTCCAAGGTCAGGAGCAGTTCTATGACAAAACCCTGGGGAAAGCCACGGGTCATTAGAATTATGCAAATCGCACAAAGAAGATCAGAGAAAATCTACTGAGTAGTGATATAAAAATATAAAATCAGTTTCAGGAACTAAATTAGTATTTTGTGCTTCAGTTAGAACACAACCCTGATGAGACAGCTCAAATTAGCAGTGCAGATTAAAGACAGGAAAAATATTTATTTCTAAATATTCACAAAATTAATTCTGGTTTGCATGCTTTTTAAGGATGGAGTCACTCAGACTCTCATTTTGCAATATTAAAAGATTACATCCACTTCTTTGGATGTACAATGACACAAAGTTGGATGGCTGTTGACACTTATATTAACTTCTTGATAAAAGAAAACTTAAATTATTTTTTACACAGCTGATCTCAGGACTCTGTAACTATGAAAGAGAAGGTGTTTTCAGGAAACAGATGTATCAGGCTCTGAAAGTTCCCACTGCTGCCGCAGAGAACGTGCACAGCTCGTCTTTTCACCGTTTCACTAGGCGAAAATTCAGGAAGTGCCATTATTAAAACTGTTTTGATATTTGAAATACCTTTCTTTTAAAAGAAAAAGCAACTGAATAAAAAGTGCTTTTAAGTTTTACTGTCCTTAAAATAACAACCTAAGTATGTCATTGAGACAAACCTGGCTTTCTAATAAAGCGGGGCAAAAATTTCAGATACCTGAGCTTCTTCTCCGGCATCTCCAACGGTTTCCACCAGCCTGGAGAGAACATCAGAAAGCGTCGCTGCAGTAAGAGGCTGCTTCAGAGCCCGGAAAATCTGGAAGGACCTCCCAGCGTAATGGCGAGAGGAGCACGAGAGCGCCGTCTGCAAAGCGACCTCACTGAGACGGTGTTCCAACTGAAAGCCTCCTGGAAAAGCAAACCAAGACTCAAGCAACACAACGCTGCCGAAAAAACAAACCCACGTGAATTTAACACAGAGTCAATTACCAAAGTCATTCCTAATCTTAAAATACTCCCACCTTCTACATTTTTCTCAAGGAGTATTACTGTTAAAAATCTCTCCAGGCATACGAACTCGTATTCCATAATACTTCACACTGGAGAGGCTTGGAGAGAATAAAACCTTTCTGATTTGAATAGTCAGTGTCCACAATAAATGAGATGTTTCATCTCATTGCTCAAAGATTATATTTAAATCTTTTGTAATAGAAACACAAAGTGTCCAATGCACAAGCAAAATCTACTCTTTAGAAACAGTAAGCGATCACCTAGAGCGATATTCTAGATCATCTTACAGGCATTTTCAAAAAAATTCATTTAGTTTGCAGACTTGAGCGTTCTATCACGCTTCGACAGTTTTCTGACCTACCTGAGCTAGACTGTTTAAATATAGATACCACGTGCTTTAAAAACGCAGTTAACTGTTCAGCGCTCTTTATGTTAGGGTTCTTGGCCGAAACATCTTCATGATTCCAAAGTGGCCCTCTTTTCCTAAAAATACAGAGTAAAAAATAGCCTTTGTCATTAATATTATTTCAATGTTATTTTAACCTTAAGGTTACCTGCAGAAGAATCTGCTACCTACAGCAGGAAAGACACCATTTAGAACTGCAGACACAAAGCAGACAGAAGCTTGACAACCGTCAAGAAGCTAAGATGCTCCAACTGAAATAACAGTGCGAGTTTAGGAAGAGATGTCCTCTTTTAGGCAATATTTAGTTATCTAACAACACCATCACACACTTAAAACAACCTCCTTTCTTCCCCTGTTCTCCGTATCAACGCACTCCACTACTCTAAATTCCGGCTGATGCAAAGGGGTTTTATCTGTTGGCGTAGTTATCAGCTTTGAGAAACAGGTGGGATTTCAGGTTTACCCAATCTTGAAAGCTTTCTATAAACTCTCATACAAAATGCACCAGTGTCGCTTGTTTTACAGATGTTCTTGGCCATTAATCCATATTTTCTAACCAGCCAGCTCTCTACCATTAAGCAATCCATAAATTCCATACAAGTCTTGCAGCTCCCTAATTATCTGTACGTATTCCAGTCCCAGTCCTTCAGTAAGGGAATCCTTTGGATGGAAAAGGGAACGTCACAAACTGCCTGGCAAGCAAAGATAGCAGGCCTGTGCAGAACAAGGCAGGAGACACTCAGGACACGAAAGGAGGGCCAAAATTCTCTGAAATTGTTGGAAAGTTAGAGTTGTGCATAGGTTATACCACATAAAAACACTGCAGAATTAAACTCCTTCTCTTACTAGTGAGAAGATAGAGACAAAATCAGACCACGTCATACTAAATAACAAAAGCTTTACCACAGTTCCACAACATACACATCCTGACAAAAAGAAAATGGAAATCTTACCTTGAGGTAATAAATTCTATGAGAGTTTTCACTTTTTCATCCTGCTCTACCGACATGTCAACCTCATTGAGGATCGTGGTGTGCAGATGAGAAATGGCAGCACTTGTGTTGCCCAAACTGATGCTAGAAGAGGTAGAACTTGAGCTGAGCCCTGAGTCTGTCATTGGGGAGGGCTGGTAATCGGGTATAAAATCATGAACACCTGCTGAAATAAAAACCAAGATGATTACGCGCTCTGAAGTTGACAGTTAATATTAAATATAAGTGGCAATAAAATATAGCTGCAGTAACGCCCCACGTTACGCCTGTATCTACCTGCGAGGTGCCGGGAAGAGCCAAACCAGCAAGGAAAAGCGGGTGGTGAATCTTTGGCTCTCACAGTTGTGCAGAAGCTTCAGGCTCACTGACATCCACCACAAATTTCCAGTCCACAGAGTCAGAGGGTTTGGGACTGGTGTGTTCGCGGGTTCAAGTAAAACTTCCCACCAGCTTGTCTGCCCTCGTGCTAAGCACACGTGCCTGAAGCCAGCTTGTCTTAACCCCCAGCTGGAAATGTTTGATGCTGATCTTATTCTCCTTTCTATCAGACATTTTTTGTTTGAATAGCAGCAAAACACCGTGTCATGTTTAGCAGTTTTACTCAAAACCACAAAGATTAGGAACGGAACGGTTTGTATAGGCCACCATAGAGGTGCCCTGGCAGAGTTCTGCAAACAGGTTTACACAACAGCAGTCCTCCACTATGCTTGCTTTTTCTTTCCTCGTGGCCATGAATATCAAATTCACAGACCAGATGACTATTTTCAGTCAGTGACACAGGCACTTCTGGCATGAAGAAGCCGGAGCGCACAGACTGCGCAGCAGCCTGCTGCCACCTGCTGAAATGACACCAAATCCCAGGCTCCAACAGCATTGCCTTCAAAACTGCAACAGGCTCACGCCATCAAAACACTGCTTCCATAAAGAGATACCTATAACACAGGTAATTTCCTATACAATTACAATATTGTGATGTTAAACATCAAAAGGTACGATCCCAAAAGGTTATTCTGATAGCCCACTGACCACTGCATTTACAGCTGACAGGAGTCAGAAATTCCAAAGCTTTGGTAAACAAGCAAGAGATGTCTCTTCTCAGGTTTTATTTTCAAGTGCATCATAAAACCTGCTGTATTACTGATCCAAAACGCAGAGCTTCCTCTCGTGTTTCCACTATCATTTAATCACTCAGCTGTGCTCCCAACTCACGACGAAGCACAAAGTGCTAACGTGAACCAGCTCCATTTTGACATCATTAAAATCTGAAGAAATCTGTTTTAACCAGCTAGACAGAGCTGAATAAAAATACACCTTAACGCCAAGGGCTCAGGAAAATATTACAGGTAACAGAAGTTTTAATAAGGCCTGGAAGAAAAGCTGATTTTCCACCTGGTTTTAAGAAGCAACCTTTACCACATCTCCAGCATACCTGTGAAAGTGTAATCCAAAGGGGTCGTCTGCTTGACAGTGAGCACCCTGGACTCGTTGAACTCTCTGTTCCGGAGGAGAACAGAGGCAACGGACTGGACGTTACTGCCAGATCCCATCACGATCAGCAGGTGCAACAGGAGTCGTTTACAATGCTCGTAGACTTCAGGGTGACAGTGGTCAAAACCTACCACCAAAGGAAAATGGAAAAGCTTTATTAAAGGGCACACTTCATTAGACTTTTTTAATAGCAGTATTCAAACTGGTCTGTTCTACTTTACCAAATAATAGATACATGATTCACGAAAGTGATGTTTTTTTAATGTTTCAACATAAAGACAAAAGTGTACAGTTTAACTAACATTAATATATCCCCTTGATTCCCACACAGCAGCAAGAACTTCATCTGCTCTGGGCAAAAATAAACTACACAGAGAAACAGAAAGAAAAAATGTAAATTCTACTGTGTCATCGACATGGAGAAAGAGGTAAAAGCGGCTCCAAAAGCAAGTGCCTTCAAACAACTCCAAAAGACTCTTAGTGATCTTCATATTAATCAAGCTGAAAGATATTTAGTTGAATTTTTTAAGATACTGCGAATATTAACGAATCAGATTTCAACACAACGGCAAACCTTCACGTAGATGTGGAGAAGAACAGCTACGGAAATAGCGACGATTCCTAAGTTACCAGACATCTTTCTGTAAGAACTTCGTTACCTATAAAAATTGCATGAAGCAAGAGATGCAGGTATCCTCCCCATTCCACCTTGACGCTGTGGTCAACGATCAAGTCAGTCAGAAGGATCACTGCTATGTTGCATCTAAAACCAAATACATAATTTGTGAGAAGAATGTTAACAGGAACTTTACGAAGAGCTGCAAAGAGCTTAACACGCTACTAACCAGTATTCTTTCTGAAGTCTACAAACATCCACAAAGTTGTATTCTACAGGAAAAGACGAACGCTCACAATGAAGACAGAAGAACTTTAGTCCTCCAGATTAACAGGCTGAGAAATCTTAAACTGTTCAACATGTAAAACTGCAGAAAATAAATATCTACTACCTTTAAATCTACGGTCGCATAATTTGCTATCTTTAAATTACTACATTTGTGCAACACAAATTAGCAGGTAATAAATTGCCATCAGGACTGTTAAAACAGTTACCTGTGAAGAGACATGCCCGGAGGAGAAGTTTCAGGCAAGTAATCCACCAACGGTGACCAGCAACCTCCCGTAGGTGGGAAAGGCAGAGGCTCTCCTTGATTGTGCTCCATCACCTTCAGCCGCCAGTTCGAATACAGGGGCATCGAATCACCTACCACAACAGAGAACGAGACCAGAAAAATATATATATCACACATTCCTATATATATAGTCTTCCACAGGCATCTTTTTAAATTCTTGAAAAGCTGAGATCGGGGTGGGGGGAGAGGGAAGGTGGGAACCAGCCGCAAACAGTAGTAGCTGGACACAGTTTTTTGGTTTTTGGGGTTTTTTTTTTGAAAAGTGGTTATTTCTTCTAGCGTAAGGATGACTCTCCAGGATCCACGCCCATAACAGAGTACGATTTTGTGGAATAGGTTCAAAAAAGCGATGGCTGCATGTATGTCAGCTAACGCCAGCCTGACACACGGGGTAACTGGGAACTCGCCACTGTCACAGCAGCACAGCCCAGTCCCCCCACTTGACAAAAGTCACTGCTCAGAAAATCAGTAGTTTTGTCAAGAAAACATGGAAGGACATTTAGGTTTTGATTAAGCAAGCTTCAAAAGTAGAAGAAACACATGAACTATTTGGTATGAGAGTATACTGTGCCACACATCCAAAACATTTTTCTGTTTTTAAATGAGATGTCTTGGAGTTCAGAACGAAATTTTCAAAACAAGCTTGAAAATTAGAGGTATGCAAGATCCTTTTCCCCTGCTATATTTTCCTTTGCTATGGCATCTCAGAAAGTTTTGTACACTTTTTTTTACACAGGCCAAGGACTGTTATTGCTTAAAAGCACAGTTACTTCTAATTTTCTATTTTTTAACTTCTATTCCATCATCTTTTTCATCATTCATCTCATCTTCCTCCTGCTAACCTCTCTCGTGTCTCTTCTGCCTAACCGTCTCTCTTCTCTTTGGTGTTGATACTGGCAAAGAAAACAGAGTAAAACTGCTTCACTTGGGAAGACGTTCACAACTCATCCCAGAGGACAAGAGAAGGAAAGAAGGCGTATTATCTTCCTTGCACATTCTAATGTAATCAAATGTGTGCCTGACTTCAGCAGCAGTGCTAAGACTGAGGAACATAAAAAACCCTGCATTTTTTAATAGGTTCCTGCAAAAAGCACTGATAACCCTTCTTTCCTCACATTCCACAACCTTCAGCAAAAGTATTAACTTGTGAACATTTTGCTTTCTATCCATTGAAATATTTTTAAATAAAAATCTTACTTTTCTCCTCTTCATACGATCCTCCAGAGCTGCTGCTGTAGCGAGACTCTAGTCTGTGGTGCTGGCGGTTTAAGTTACTGTTCAACCCGCTGTAGATGTCGAGATGTACGTAACTGTAGCAACAAATAAAGCAGCATTAGTAACAGACATTCTGTGAAAAAAACTAAGCAAGGTCTCACAGTAAAACTGTATTTCAACAAAGCTAAGTGTTATGCAAAAATATTTCGTCTTACAAGGACAGCCAATGTGATGCCAGCAGGACGAGGGAGGTTCTCCTTCCCCTCTACACTGCCCTGGTGAGGCCTCATCTGGAGTGCTGTGTCCAGTGCTGGGCTCACCAGTTCAAGAAAGATGAAGAGCTACTGGAGAGAGTCCAGCGGAGGGCTACGAGGATGAGGAGGGGACTGGAACATCTCCCCTACGAGGAGAGGTTGAGGGAACTGGGCTTGTTCAGCCTGAAGAAGAGAAGGCTGCGAGGGGACCTTAGAA